GATTAATCAAAGGAGCAGGTGATGAACTCAAAGGAGCAGGGGAAGAAGGAGCAAGGATAGGAAATTGCAGGTTGACACAAGGATTTACTTGGGAAGTATCAGCAAAGGAATGAGGGGGAAGAACAGTGGCAGAGGATAGAGTATGGAATGGAAAAGTGGTCTCATCAAATAATACATGCCGAGAGATATAAACACGTTGGGTAAGTGGATCAAGACAGCGATACCCCTTGTGCTGAAGACTGTACCCAAGAAATACACAGGATTTACTCTTACTATCCAACTTGGATGTCGTATAGGGTTTGAGCCAGGGATAACAACCACAGCCAAAAACTCGAAGGCGAGAATAATCTGGAGAAGTGAAGAAGAGGAGTTCCCAAGGAGATTGCAATAGACCACCAAGTGGAAGTCGATTAATGAGATAGATAGCAGTAGAAAAAGCTTCAACCCAAAACATATGAGGCACTTGAAATTGCACTAAGAGTGTACGAGCAGTTTCAACCAAATGGCGATGTTTCCTTTCAACGTATCCATTTTGCTCAGGAGTATGAGGGCAACTAAATTGTTGTAAAATGCCATGAAGTTTAAGAAAATGCTGAAACTGATGACTTGTAAACTCACCCCCTGAATCAGATCGAACAACCTTGATTTTATTACCAATAGTTTTCTCTACATAGGATTTGAACTCCACAAAGGTTGAAAATACAGAAGACTTAGACTTTAAGGGAAAATACCAACTATACTTGTTGTAATCATCAACAATAAGCAAGTAATATCTATAGCCACTGACGGATACAACAGGAGACGGCCCCCAGACATCACAATGCAACAATTCAAGACTGGTCGAAGATGCAGATGGAGTAGTACCAAAGGGAAGCTTGTGATTCTTTGCCAAAGCACAGTCTTTGCAAAAGAAGTCTGGAGACGATCTGCCTTGGACAACAACTTTATTCGTAGACAGAACTTTCCGAAAGATAACAGAAGAGGGGTGACCAAGTCTGCTGTGCCAAATGCGAACATTAGTAGAACTACTTACGAGTGCATTAGGAGAGGTAGGAGCTTTGGAGGAAGAAGAGCCTTGAAGAGGAAAGAATCCACCTCTAACTGGGCCCCGCAAAAGCGTCCTCCCCGTAAAACGATCCTTGACAGAGGATCCATGAATGTCAAGAGTCAATGAACAATCATTATCTTTGATAAACTGATAGGCAGAGAGTAGACTGTATTTCATATGAGGCACATAAAGAACATTGTGTAATTGAAAAGAAGAAGCAGGAGTATGCAAAGTAGATGTGCCAGTATGAGCAATAGACAGACCTTTACCATCTCCGATGTACACCTTGTCTTCACCATGGTAGGGAGTTGGAGATTGAATATTGGCGATATCATTTGTAATGTGAGAGGTAGCACCCGAATCTATGAGCCAAGAATTGGAGGACTTCGCAGTGTAATGAGCACACATGGCAGCAAGTTTAGCTGGGGGAAACTTGCCTGAGATTTCTGGATTCATTATGTCGAAGCAATCAAGAGCTTCATGGCTAGTAGAACCACAAATTTGACAGGGAGTTTTGTGACCTGAAGGAGAGGCATGACAGTTGAATCCAGAATTATAAGAACCACGAGAGAAACCAGAGTTGGAGTTGCTACGATTAAAACCACGATTGGAGCCTCGATTGGAACCACGGGTGTAGCCTCGATTAGAACCACGATTGTAGCTTCGGTTAGAATTATACCGAAAGGAATTATGAAGTGGTGATGCTCCAGGAGTCTGAGCAGCAAGAGCTTGCGGTGGTGTGGGAAGTAGAGGCGGTTGGCCTTGCACAGAAAAGGCATGAAAAGGCTCAGAGGAAGAGATTTTCTTACGACGCTCCATGGATAACTCCTTAGTGAGCAACAGGCCATGTAATTCATCCAAAGAAGTAGACGAAAGACGAAGTAAGATAGAATCAGTAAACGATTCAAAATCATCAGAGAGACCAGCAAGAGTTGCAGCAATGAGATCACGATCAGTGAGAGATCACGATCAGTGAGAGATACACCAGCAGCAGTGAGAGAATCGGAGATCTCCTTGATTTTTTGAAGATAGTCAGACATGGACTGAGAACCTTTCTGAATATTTTGAAGCTTCGAACGCAATTGATGAATGTGTGCATTCGAGACACCACCAAAACGCTGCTCAAGTTTGAGCCAGAGATCACGAGCGGAAGAGACACCGACTGTGAACGGAATGATTTCCTCAAAGAGCGTTGAATTGAACCAGATAAGCAGATTCTGATATTTCTCATACCATTGCTCAAAAGCAGGATTAAGAGAGCGATCAGGAAGAAAGGGAGATGGACAAGGCTCAGTGCCATCAACAATCCCAAGGAGCTTGTAGCGACGAAGAATCGGAGCAAACAAAGCACGCCATGGCAGATAATTGGATCGCCGGAGCTTGATCGGAACCATGCTGCCAATGTTCTGGATCGTGAGAGAATTATACATCTGAGAGGAATTGAGATTTGGGGAAGAAGAATTAGGGTTTGAAGAATTAGGGTTGGGAGGAGGCACCGACTCAATTGGAGATGAGGATGCAAAGGGAGACGCCATTAAGATTCAAGAAAAAGAAGTCGAGAACCTGAATCGGAGTAGAAGAACAACGCAATCAATTTCACCGGAGAAGAAGATCAGAGAGGAGCAGAAGAAAATGGCAGGATCGAAGAAGCCGTGAGGCGATTTGGCGATGGTACCATGTAGAAATCACAGTTTCTAAATATCTCTCTTATATTAATTCTTTGTTAAAAGTTACAATGGTATGGCAGTGTATATATAGACAATATACTGCTCTTACAATTACAATTATACCCTTGTCTAATCTGTCTATTTACATAAGAAACCTAACAAACTTTTAACAAACATCTAACTAATTATACCCTTGTCTAATCTGTCTATATACTGCTCTTACAATTACAATTATAGCAGCAGGGTAAATGTGTGTTATGATTTTACCGGTTCAGTTGTGCATTTGTGCCGGACTACGCTGTTTTAACTTTGCGGCTCTTGGCACCGGACCCGTCTTTAAAACGGTTCAAATCACACTGGAAGGGTGTCGATGCAGTTAAAAGACTTGGAGATGTTCTTACCATTGTTGTTGTTGCTGTTACGCCGGTTCTTTAGCTTCAGTTATGACTGTAATCAACTTGGTACTTTCGTAATTTTTATGTGTGTATATTTGGTCGTACAAACTGAGATTCATCTGTGGACTGCGCGACCGTGGGGAAGTGGATCGTGAAGAGCACGGATGACTCATGTAACACGTACGAAATGGATACATGTGAGGCCAAGTCTTGTCTCGTTCTGCCCAGAAGTGCTTTTTAGAGAAGCATCTCCAAAGGAGTCTCGAGTGAGGAGGCGTTATGTCAGCTTTTGGCAATACTAATCGTGTGTATTTTCGATATGTCACTACTAATTAAGCCATCATTTGGTTTTTTATTACAACTCAATTGTTGCTAATTTACATTATTTACTGACGGAGTTGATTGCAAATATTAAATCTGGTGTTTCAATATACCAACAAAAGCATACTTTTTGGAAATATTCGAATTAACACAAAAGAAAATTTTCATTTCACTCACTATTCATGATCCATAACAAACTATGGTTTTAATCATCGTAGACTGAATTTTCTTCGATGTATAACCATGTGTATCTTGTACCTTGTTACTATTAAACCCTATGGTTTTAATCATCATAGGCTGGATTTTCTTCGCGAAAATCCAAAACTGCTCGGCCCACTGCTGATCGTCGTTCAAAACGGACAAGGATTGTCTGACCTTCACTTCCGGTGCCCTTCTCGTGTCCTCCTGTTTTGTGTGGCCACGGTTAAGCCACGTCAACATTTTATATTGTTTTTTTATAGATATAATAAGACAAAAATGAATAGTAATATAAAATGTTGACGTGGTTTAACCGTGACCACACAAACAGGAGGGCACGGAAAGAGCACCGGAAGTGGAGGGCAGACGATCCTTGTCCGTTCAAAACCAATTACCAAAGACATTGAATCAGTTGCAGTCAAAAACAACTTTATGTCTTTCTCATTAATCTTTCTTTCGGATGAACTGATCCATCGTCCAATACCTGGCATCTCACAATCTATTGACACGACATTGAAAAAACGACTGTCGTTGACAATACAACCGAGCTCGATGCTCATACAAATAGGGGCGAGTCAAGTTATCATTGAGCTCAAGACATTTGCCATCAAAACCAACAATCCGTCATGCGACTTTTGTTGGATACATTTGACTGGAGTTCTCATTAGATTGTTCTGCAACATCTAATCTCTCGAGCTTCCGGGTGGCGGCCGTGTATATAATAACATTAGCACTTTCATCATCATGTTTGAATTTTGAATGCAACTATTGGTGAAGACGATTTGATCAAGGCGAGAAGATTTGGTCAAGGGCGAGAGGCTGAATAACTTCAATGATAATATTGATGCTTCATGGTTTTACAATACATAAGCATACAAGCTGAGTTCCATAAGGAAGACTATGTACACACAAATTTCAATTACAACAACAACAAAGCTTTTTCTCACTAAATGGGATCGGCTATATGAATTCTAGAATGTCATTGCGCTCGGTTCTGACCACACAACATGCAACTTACAGGTGATGCCCTAGCTTTAACGCGATTTCGTTCTAGATTCATTTTTATAAGGATTCAACGTAACCTAGGAGTGCTGACTGTCGACTACCTGACGTCCTCCCCCTCCTTTACACACAGATCTCAATTAAATATACAAAATCAACTCCTACCTAAAACAGGACTCCCAAAATCTCCCAGAATCTCCTATAATATTTAGGAATAATGTCCCAACATGCACTCGTCTTGGTCTGGTCTTTTGTTAAGCAAAGCCAAGCCGGATGGGTGCCAGAAGACCTTAAATTATGTCTTAAACATCGTCAAGGAACATCCGTTACAAGTGATTCGACGTTCCTTAAATTTCGACTCATAAAACAATCCACCAAACAAAATTGACAACGCGAAAATTACAGTTACGGAATGTACAATACGCTATAAGCACTTATATATAAGCAATCGTTTTGAGATGCTTTTGTTCCTATGAAAGCAAAAATTACAACACTGTTGCATAAAAACGGAAACAGAAAAACAAATGAGGAAGAAAAGGGTTCTACACGATAAAAGATCAAATTTAACCTTCCAGTATTTGCCTAAGGAGGTTGAGAATACACAAAAACAACATGGCGTTGCTACTCTCGTGCTCAGGTGGGTACAGCCACCCCTTGATGGGATGACTGCGAGTGAAAAACAAGATCGCCAAGCCCAGCAATATTAACTGAATAAAAAGACAAGAAGTAATCTTACAAAACCTCTTCTGGATGGTGAAAACCTCTTCGGTCTCTAAAATATCTCCGGATAATTTTCCCAACTCCATTGTTCGTTCCTTTAGCTTTGCGGCCCTAATTTCTACTTCTCCAAGCTTGTTCAGCATCTGTGCTTGTTCTCCGGCTACTGCTTCTTGCTCATCAAGCAGTGCGATTTGGCCACCTGCAGCAAACTTCAACCTCTGTGTGGAACTTTTAATAGCAATGAACTCAACCTGAGCTTCAATCACTTGCCTAAACACGCCATCAAGTTCAGTCTCTAGCTCTCGACTTTTTTCTTCCTCTAAACCTACGGTACTACCTGAATCTTCTTTTGCAGACTTGCTAACGTTAATCATATCTTCAAGTTCAGCAACCCTGGATTCTTTCACCTCCAGTATAGCTCTCGTCTCGTCCAGCTTGCTTTCCAAAAGCTTCACATTTTGTTTCAAACTCAAGACCTGAGATTCCAAGGACTTTGAAGAACTTTGTCCAATCTTATCAGAACCCAAATGGTCAGATAAGTTAGATTCATTGATTCCCGGATCACTTGAATAGATATTGGCAGGTATACTACCACCAATAGAATCCGCTGACAAAGTTTCCTTCCCAATCTCCCCAAATTTCTGAACCTCTGCATGAACACACATGACTCCGTTAATTTGATGTCCAAAAACAGCCATAACAATATAGCAGAACCCCCAAAAAAGGAAAACACAATCAAAATTCATATTTCAGACAAAGCAGTCAAAAATAGCTTCAGCAGGAAACAAACCATCGCTAATAAGAAACACAGACAGCAATAAGTTAAGAAGGGAAATAAACCAAAACTACTTTGAAAAGCAAAGCGCAGCCCATTAATCAAAGTCTCAATATGCAGACCACACTAAAGGGGAATATTTTTGCTCACCACACTAAAGTGATGTGATGCTCATGACCCTATTGATTACCGTTGGATGAGTTTGATTTAATCTATCTACTACACAAATCTCGAAATTTAAACTAATCTAACGGTATTTAATGGGGTGGTAAGTATTACCACCACTTTAGGGTGGTGAGCCAAAATGCACTCGTAGGAAGGGGTAAAACAATGAACCCACAAGAAATAAAAGGAAAATGATACAATAACCAAGACGGATGGAGCAAAAAGCAAACAATACTAGTTTCTCGAACCAAGCCTTTAGTGTAAAAGAGGGAAAGAGAAACAGTAAGTGCCATTACACCAAGACTTCTGAGTATAAAAAAGAATGCAAGACAAGACAATAACTTCAATGATGATACAACGAGTTATGGTAACATCTGGGCTTCTCAAAATGTTTATGTATCAACCAGAAAGATTCACCAAATATATTACCCACGAGGCACATAAGATGGGAGGTATTTCACAAACCCTTATTAAGATCCCCTAAACATGTGAAAATTGAACAAACTTGCACTTGTAAAAGTACAAACTTACACTTATAAAAGTACAAACTTAGAAGAAGATTAGCATATGGCTGCCATGGAGACTCTCCCACCCATTGATTACATTGTTTGCAGACTACTCTAGTCAAGAGGTCCTTCAGACTACTCTAAAAATGACCAAAAACTTTGCTTGCAGAACTCCTAAATCTATACTTGGACTTTTACAAAATAAAATTGACATGTTTAGCACAGACCACAGTTTTGCACGATCAGGTTTTTCAAAATAATCTTTCTATGATTTTAATAGTTATTCTACTGGTTCCTACCCTATCCTGATCATCACAGGAAGTAGTAGCTGAACAAAAAATTCTAATTAGGCAATGAACAATATGGGGGATTCATCAAATTTATTAGAACACCAACACGTTAAACATATGGAAAGCAGCAATACAAGACAAAAACACCAACTTTATTTCGTAATTATTTATATTTCAGCAGTTTTAGGCAAACCTTTAGCCAGTGCTTCTTGTACAGACTGGAGATTACGGATAGCCTCAACCAGTGGATCTTGATCTGTCAAGGACCTATGATCCTTATTCTTTCCTCCCTTAGCCATCCACGGCAAGTCCGTCGGAAAGTCACCCTGAGAAAAATCTTCAACATCTCCCAAATTCTCTTTGCTATAACCAGTTTGAGCTTCTTCACTGTATTGTGGTTCACTTGCATGAACTTCATCACTGTCTTCTCCATCATGACTCATTGATCTTCCACTTTGCTTCCTGTTACTAGTCAAAATTGGACTCTGCATAAAGAAAAAGTTGGAGCTTCTTGAGTCAGATTCCATGCTGGAATAAGAGTTTTCCTTCTCAACTGTGCCCCTGTCTCCTCTATGCTTCTTACTACTTTCAGCTCGTGTCTTTCCCTGTTGAGCTTTTTGAGCTGAATTGCTCACACTCCTCCTGCTAGTACTCTTCATCTTGTTCTTATCCCACGCATGCCCAAATGCTGCAGGGAGCTCAAACTTGGCCTTTGGAACACTGGCAGCTGTTGAAGACTTGCTACTCCGATCCTCACTGTTGTCAGAATCTGCGGCAGCAGCAAATGCAGAACCCACAGCAAACCTAGAATCCGAACTTGAACCAGGAATGGCAAAGCTATCAGCAACTCCCACATTTCTCAACCTATTCACGGATCCAACAGAAACATCACTATTATTATGCCTGATCTCAATGGGCGAATTCTTTGGCTTAACTGGGTTTCCATTACCGGACAAACCCCGCTTCAAAACTTTACTAGAATCATCAACTGCATTGTCATTATCGTCCTTGGCAAAATTTCTCTTAATTCTTTTCCACTTTCTTAAGCCGCGCCCTTTGACGGTTGGAGGTGACCCCCCAACGGGAGATTTGGCTGCCGGAGGACTCGAATTCACTGCCTGTTCAGTGCCACCATCATTATCTCTACTATCTGCTACATTGCCAATCTCATTACCACATGACCCGTTGTTCCTAATCGAATTACTACTACCGTCATCGCCATCAGCAGCAGCAAAATCGGAAACTGCTTGTGGGTTTACTACATCATCTTCCACAGATTCATTTTCCAAATCCATAACATAGAACAATTTAGGGCTTTTCCCTCACCCCCAATTCAATCAGATCAAGAACAACTATCATTCCAACCCAGACCCAAAATCTAGCATTACAAAAAACTGAAATTAAATTTCGATCACGAACCGGCAGAGCAATTAAATCCTGAATAATTGAAAATTCAGAAAAATAAAAAAACGAAACGACGAATTCAAAATTTGGGATTTTGGGGAATTGGGAAACTTACCGTTGGAATTAACTGCCTGAAGCCTAGAAGAATACGCAGGTAGAAGATAAATTCGAAGGGCATTGGAAACCCTGAATTGTGATCGGATTTGCTATCTTATAGCGATGAAAATTTAATTAGGAAAATTTAATTCGACTAATTATTAATTAACGGGAAAAAATGATAAAGGGGAGGATTAAATAAGGGTGGAGGGAACGTGGGGGACACTGAGCATGGCCACATGCACGAGGGGTGGGCCCACCCTCCACCGCACACCGTTGGCCACCGCTGGCCATCTGATGGATCGGCTTCTTCTTGCTTGCACGAGGGGTGGGCCCACCCTCCACCGCACACCGTTGGCCACCGCTGGCCATCTGATGGATCGGCTTCTTCTTGTATTTGTTTGGTAATTTTGTTTTATGTTTGTTTCTACTCTAAAACTTCGTTTCAAACAAAGATCTTATAGTTCAAGTGGTTATGAACGTTTGATTTGGACTTGAAGTTCTAAGTTGGAGTTTCTCCTCATTTATTATTGCTTCATTTAGCATTACAAACATGGATTAAGTTGGTATTATAGTAGTTTGGATTAAACTATAGCATTTGTTTAGGAAAATTATTTAGAAGTGATTTTAATATGGCTGAAAGTGTTTTTGGTGAAATGTTTTTAATATCAATCCTAAGCAAAAATGCAAGTGAATCTCGAAAAAATACTTAAAGTTCTTCTTTTAAGAAGAACATAACTGATGTTTATTACATAAAACACTTCAAATGCTTTTGGAATCCAAAAACATTTTCTCTAAAAAAAGTTTTAATTATTTTAAAAGTATTTTCAAACGAGCTCGTAGATATATAAAATCGAACTGCTAGCCACACGTAATCACTCTCTCTTTCAACTCGAGTTCGAATATCTTCTTTCATAAATTATATCAGTTTTGAATCATTGTCCTCCATTAAAGATAATTTTAGAATGTTAATAATTTATAATCTTTCTCAGTTTTATTTGAGTGAACTGTTATGCTCAGGATTGTATTTTCCATTCAATGACTGCAGAATCAAATGAACCGTGATTCGTGCATATCATCAATCTAAGGGTTTGGGTACCAAATATAATATATTGTCATTAATTTAGTTGTAGTAATAAAAGGTGAACTTGTCGATCTAAACAGCTGCAAATGCGTATGTAGACATCGAAATTTCGGTAAATAAATGTTGACCGATAAATTAAAGTGTCAACGCTCATGTATTACATAAATTTTACACGTAACGTGTGACTCAACGAAAATTGAAATGAGTTGGAAAAGTCATCAAATAGGACACGTGTCAACACCTGGCAGAAACGACTTATTTCGTCTGGGATATTATATTCAAAATTAGGCTTTGGAAAATTCTATAAATACAAGCCCATTTCATTCATTTGGGGGACCAATGGATATGACACCTTGAAGCTCTGAAGCTCTGAAACCCCGAAGCTCTCAAGCATCCAAGTTCCCGAAGAATCAAGAAAGCCTTCTTCGTTCTTCGTTCATCGTTCTTCCAAGATCAAGCCCCGACGGCCCTTGGATCAACAACATCAACAAATCCACACATCCGACCGTTCTTCAAGATCAAGCCCCGACGGCCCTTGGATCAACAACATCAACAAATCTACACATCCAACCGTTCTTCAAGATCAAGCCCAAAAGCCCTTTGAAGATCCGTTCATCCATCAACCTTCAAGATCAAGCCCAAAAGCCCTTGAAGATCCGTTCATCCATCAACCTTCAAGATCAAGCCCAAAAGCCATTGAAGAAACGCTCATCCTCAAGATCAAGCCCCAACGGCTCCTTGAAGACCCGCTCAAAATCCACCTTCAAAGATCAAGCCCACGGCCCTTGAAGAACGTTCATCCTTAGATCAAGCTCAACGGCCCTTGGATCAATCGCATATCCACAAATCAACACCTTACGGAGATTGAATCAGAGGATCAAATAGAAGAGAGATTGTAACCCAAAATCATCAAACACAAATATTTGTTTGTGCACGTTGTTTCTTGTCTCTTTCGTTTTCAGGAATTTTCCGTGTTCACAAATTGGCACGCCCAGTGGGACCATCTCTGCCTCTCATCTCTTTCTCCGAAATTCAAGCGCACTTCGAAAATTAATGGCATCAAGGAAGGCTCAAACGGTTCCCGCAACCTGCGCAAAGAACAAGAGCGTCATCGTCGCAAGTGGTATCACTTTGGGCATCACGACTCGAAGCATGGCAAGAGCTACTTCTGCCACCTCTTTCACCTCTGCATCAACTCTGCCAAAGGGACAAGAGTACCCCAGGCGCGAGCCTATGATCACCTTAGCCTCACTAAGGGCACCAAGAGGGGAAAGACCAAGGGAATACTCCGAATCCATGCTCTCCGATGACGATTCAAGCGGCAGTTCAGCCATGCAAGTCATGACCGCTGGAGCAACTTCAGTCGAGGAACAGCTTGCTCAAATGAATGAAGCAATCGCAAGACTAACTCGAACTGTGGAAGAAAAAGAATTGCAAATCGCGGCATTAGTCAACCGACTGGAGGCGCATGACAGCGAGAAACCCGACCCAGAGGATGATCCACTAAAGGGAGGAGCTGGCGGAGACGAAGAACCCCCGGTGAAGAAAATCGATAGGAAGCCGAAACCAGACCAAGCAGCGGCACTCATGGGATCTCTTTCTATCCAGCAGCTGCAAGAGATGATCACCAACACCATCAATGCACAGTACGAAGGGAGCTCATATACCTCCGGGTTGTACTCAAAGCCGTATTCAAAGAAGATCGACGCCCTAAGGATGCCGAGGGGTTATCAACCACCAAAGTTCATGCAATTTGATGGAAAGGGAAACCCGAAACAGCACGTTGCCCACTTCGTTGAAACTTGCAACAACGCAGGAACCGAAGGGGACTACCTCGCCAAGCAGTTTGTGCGCTCGCTGAAAGGAAACGCCTTTGAGTGGTACACGGATCTGGAGCCTGAGTCCATCAACAGTTGGGAGCAATTGGAGCGGGAATTCCTCAATCGCTTCTACAGCACCCGCCGCACTGTGAGCATGCTAGAGCTAACAAGCACAAAGCAGTGGAAGGACGAGCCAGTCATGGACTACATCAATCGATGGCGTAATCTAAGCCTCGACTGTAAGGACAGACTCTCCGAGATTTCTTCAATCGAGATGTGCATCCAGGGCATGCAATGGGGTTTACAATACATCCTTCAAGGTATCAAACCACGAACTTTTGAAGAATTAGCCACCCGTGCCCACGACATGGAGTTGAGCATCGTCCACCATGGAAAGAATGAGCCAATCACCGATTTCAAAAGGGATAAGGTGTTCACTTCAAGAGCAGACAATCATGGGAAAAAGCGCGCCAAGGAAGCTTTTACCACCAATACCACCCCTATCAAGACCTCGTCTGTGCCCGTCAAAATCTCTTTCAATAAAGCAAAGGAGATGAAAAAAGGTGAGCCTTCCCACACCCAAGATAGGTACAAAAACACCTTGAGGGAATTGGAGCAGAAGGTATACCCTTTTCCGGACTCCGACATGGACGCAATGCTGGACGACCTACTGGAGAAGAAGGTGATTGAGTTACCCGAATGCAAACGCCCTGAAGAAATGAATCGCATCAATGATCCCAAGTACTGCAAGTACCATCGTATCGTGGGTCATCATGTGGGCAAGTGTTTCATCCTAAAAGAACTCATCATGAAGTTGGCACAACAAGGACGGATTGAGCTCGACCTAGAAGACACAGCTGCGACGCACACCACTACGGTCGTGTTCGGATCCTTTGATCCCGTGTTTCTTCAAGAAATGCCTGACCATGCTCGGTAATACTCAAACCACATTGCACATTCTGCACCACCGTCACTGGGGGCAAGCAACCAGGACGCACCTACTGACGATGACAAATGATGGACATTGGTGACCTATAAGAGGACGAGGAACCAAAATCATTAGGCAAAATTCTTGAAGCTTTGAAGCTCTGAAACTCCGAAGCTTTCAAGCATCCAGGTTCCCGAAGAATCAAGAAAGCGTTCTTTGTTCTTCGTTCATAGTTCTTCCAAGATCAAGCCCCGACGGCCCTTGGATTAACAATCACCAATTCAAGATCAAGCCCCGACGGCCCTTGAAGAAAGTGTTCTTCGTTCTTCGTTCTTCGTTCATCGTTCTTCGAAGATCAAGCCCCAACGGCCATTTGGATCAACAATCATCCACCAATTCAAGATCAAAGCCCCGACGACCCTTGAAGAAAGTGATATTCGTTCCTCGTTCATCGTTCTTCCAAGATCAAGCCCCGACGGCCCTTGGATCAACCATCCACCAATTCAAGATCAAGCCCCAAAGGCCCTTGAAGAACTTCCACCAATTCAAGATCAAGCCCCGACGGTCCTTGAAGAAAGCACCATCGTTCAGGAACCAAAATCATTAGGCAAAATTCTTGAAGCTTTGAAGCTCTGAAACTCCGAAGCTTTCAAGCATCCAGGTTCCCGAAGAATCAAGAAAGCGTTCTTTGTTCTTCGTTCATAGTTCTTCCAAGATCAAGCCCCGACGGCCCTTGGATTAACAATCACCAATTCAAGATCAAGCCCCGACGGCCCTTGAAGAAAGTGTTCTTCGTTCTTCGTTCATCGTTCTTCGAAGATCAAGCCCCAACGGCCATTTGGATCAACAATCATCCACCAATTCAAGATCAAAGCCCCGACGGCCCTTGAAGAAAGTGCTCTTCGTTCCTCGTTCATCGTTCTTCTAAGATCAAGCCCCAACCAACCATACACATAGTGGTAAGGAAGCACCGCAGCACGATCTTCAGTGCTTGCCGAGTCAGAAACCATGCTCAAGCCGTTGTAAATGCTGGCTAAGACCGGAATAGCGAGGCTAAAAGACTCACCTGCAGCCATCTTGCTAGCAACTTTGAAAACTCCAGGGCGAACTAAGTTGACGTCGCCTGCGGGGAAAACAAATTTACAAAGCCAACAAGCTAAGAAAGCAGCCAGGTAAGACTCATCCACATGCTCTGGTGCTATGCTGAGATCCTCAAATGCTCTCAACTCGTCAGAAGAGCGACGCCTGGTTGCGCCAATAACACCGGACGGGTCTGAGTCGCCCTTTGGCCTAGTGGTCTTGTTACGACCAATTCTCTTCAAAGGCTTATTATACCTC